TTTTAGGTGGAAAGCCTAATATGACTGCTTAAGTCTTAAGCAGCCCATTGACTCCTTCTAGAATATCCCTTGGACGAATTCCTTATAGGTTTCACATAGAATTCGTCCAACCTTTATTCCAAGGTGGTCCATCAGCCCAATTGCAATTATCTCTTATTTACAATATCAGTCCCCTTGATTTAATTAATCTCTTTTGATCACAAAATTAATTCTAAATTAATTCTTGATCAATACTTATTAAATAATATAATTTCTCTTTTAATATTTTATTCACATAATATATTAATAAATCATAATTAATGCTCTTTCTCCATAACTCATCCTATCAGTTGCTATGATGAAGGCAACCCAAAAGGACCATGCTCATAATCGGGTCAAGTAAATACCAAAATAGTTATAGGCTTAGACACCTAATCCAACAGCGAGGTCATGTGATAGCCTATGCTTCGAGACAGTTGAAGCCTCACGAGGCTAACTATCCGACACACGATTTAAAGATGGGAGGCTGTGGTGTTCACCCTCAAGATTTGGCAGCATTACCTCTACGGGGTCCGTTGTACCATTTACACAGTGTTGTAAAACTCGCCGAGTTGGTCGATTACTCCTCCGAGTACTCGCTACTCAGCCCCTTGCCGAGGCGAGTTACAGAATCCCGAGTACTCCCCGATCGGCCCCTTACTGAACTGAGCAATGTTGTAAAACTCGGTGATTAATATGTATAATATACTTAATGATTTATTATTATTGAACATACACACATGTGATTATTACTACATATATATCTTAAATTTTAGTAATTATTCACGAAGTGAGACCATTATTTGTTTTTTTAGTTTTTGTGTATTCACATGTATCTAATTTTGTTATATATTTCAATCAACTTATGATTTTAACTTATTATTTTGACATATATAATTTCCCTAAAAATATTACTACATGAATTACCAAATCCGAGTACTCCCCGAGTACTCCTGAGTACTCCCGAGTACTCGCTACTCGGTAGTCGGCCGAGCAGGTACCGAGTAACGAGTTCTACAACCTTGCATTTACACGGACCACAAGAGTTTGAGGTACCTCATGGATCAGTCGAATCTGAATATGAGACAATGTTAGTGGTTAGATGTGGTGAAGGATTACGATTGTGAGATCCTTTACCACCCGGTCAAGGCCAACATAGTGACCGACGCCCTGATTTTCAAGGTGGTCTCGGCCCCGATCCAAGACATTTGTTTGAGGATGACAATTATTACTCCATTGTTGGAGTAGATCTGAGAGGCACAAGTCGAGGGCCTAAAGGACGAGCACCTCAAGTGCAAGCGGATCATAGGCCAGGTAGCCTCCTTTGATTGCGATAGTCGTGGATTATTGACACTTCATGGAGGGGTTTGGGTGTCATACTGAGGTAGACTACGAAAGATATTGATGGATAAGGCCCACAAGTCCATGTTCTCCATCCATCTTGGGGCGAAGAAGATGTACAGAGATCTTCGACCCAATTACTAGTGGACCTGCATGAAGCAGGATGTAGCCTGGTACATGGAGAGATGCCTGATCTCCAGGAAGGTCAAGGCAGAGCACCAGAGGCCTCATGACAAGATGCATCCATTAGATATTCCCGTGTGGAAGTGGGAGGACATCACTATGGATTTTATGACTAAGCTTCCCAGGACCGCACGTGGGGTCGATTCGATATGGGTCATCTTGGATCGGTTGACCAAGAGCGCTCACTTTATCCCGATCCAGGAGAGCATATTGGTCAAGAAGTTGGCCGAGATTTATGCACGAAAGTTAGTGGCACATCATGGAGTGTCTGTCTCAGTGGTGTCAGACCAAGATGTGAGTTTGACTTCCATATTTTAGAAGCAATTTCATGATGAGATGGGTACTCGTCTCCACTTCAGCACCGCTTTACACCCATAGACCGAAAGATAAATCGAGAGGACGATTCAGACTCTTGAGGACATGCTTCGTGCATGTGTTTTGGATTTCGGTGGCAATTGGGATACGTATCTTCCGTTAGCAGAATTTTTGTATAACAATAGTTACCACGCTATCATCGACCGATCTCCCTTCGAGAAGCTCTATGGGAGGAAGTGTAGGACGCCAATCTGTTAGGTTGAGGTTCGTCAGAGGGTCATGGGGAGTACGGAGATAGTACTGAAGACCACAAAGCGGTTCTGGTAGGTCTGGAGCAGGATCCAGACTGCTCAGAGCTGAAATAAGAGTTATGCTGACAAGCAGCATTTATACTTAGAGTTCCACGAGGGTAACATGGTACTTCTGAAGGTGTCACCCTAGAAGGGTGTCATCCGGTTCTAGAAGTAGGGCAAGCTGGGCCCCAGGTATATTGTCCCATTCAGAGTCATAACTCGGGTAGGCAAGGTATCATATCGAATGGATCTTCCGATAGAGCTCAGCTAGATCCACAACACTTTCCATGTTTCTTAGCTGCGGAAGTGCTTAGTGGATGAGTCAGCAGTTGTGCCTATATAGGATATTCAGGTGGATAACAGCCTGAACTACATCGAGACACCAGTGGCTATCCTCGATAGGAAGACGAATGAGTTGATGAATAAGAGAGTGAAGCTGGTGAAAGTGCAGTGGCAGTACCACAAGGGCTCAGAGTGGACCTGGGAACCTGAGGATGCAATGAGGAGCACTAACCGGAGTTGTTCCCAGATGCAGCGAAATTCGAGGACAAAGTCTGATTCAAGTGGGGGTCAATTGTAACAACTGTCATTGAGGTATTATTTATTAAACATTTCTTAATTTATTTGTTGGGCTAAATGTAGATAGAAGGATTAAAGGAATGGACTTTAGCAAGTGGGCTAAGGACTTGGGCCGCCCACAATTCGTACGCTCGCCGTAGCCTTGGTGTACGCGGGGCGTAGAAACGCATTAGATTCAGAGGACTCATGCACGTACGCACAACGTACCAAGGAGTATGCTCAGCGTACGCGATCAGATTCCAAAACCCTAATTTTTAGGGTGTAAGTCACATAAATACCTCATTATAGCTTAACCATGGCCTCCTTACCAGCCCCTCACACTCAGAAACCCTTAATATCTTCTCTCATTCCATTCTTGTGTATGTATGGCCATTTGAAGCTTAGTTTGGTGAAGAAGAGCTTGAAAGAAGAGAAGGGAAACTGGAGAAGAAGAACTTGAGTATCTTAAGCTAAAGGATCTGGGATTATCTCATCTTTTAGCACTCAAAGGACATATAAGGCTTCCAACTTTCCTCATAAAATCTTCAATCTAGGTTTATGGAGATTTGGACCTTTTTAGGTCCAAAGAATGGATCTCTATGATGCAACTTTGTTTTTAAGCTTAGGGTTGCCACCTTCAGAGCTAAAAGTGTCCCTTAAGTAGTAATGTTTCAATCTTTAAGGCCCATTTGTAACTGTGCATTAGATCTAGCCATTTCCATGAAGTTAGTTGCTATTTTTCCAAGTGTGATCTCACTTGGTGGGTTGCAAGCCACCAAGTGATCGACTTTATGGGTTAAGACGGATTATTGGACTCAGATCTGTAGTCTAGATGTAATGTCTTAAGGGGTTAAGAGGTTTTGAAGAAAATGGCTTAATAGAGTAGTATGTTGGGCGTACATGCCAGTACGCGCAACGTACAAGCCATGTAAGCTATACGCATATGCGTACAGGAGAGTATGCTCAACGTAATCTCAAATTTTGGGCTTTACAACATTGCGCCTTGGTTTGGGCCAAATATTTGGGCTTAGCAGATGTTGGGCTGAAATGGGCCTCCAGAAGTAAGTTAATGGACCAAGGACACGTTTGGCCTTGGGAGGAAAGCCCATTTGAGGAGTCGGGCCCAATTTAGAAAATAGGGCCATTAGAGGGATTTAATGGGCCATTAGTGAGTTTGGAAAGACTAGAAGGGATTGGGCCTAGGTCATGGTCCAATTTAGATCAAGGGCTAAAACAGTTATTTTGGTCATGATAGCTGTGGATTCGTTAGAGCAGCTGTCATAGATACCCTCACATGAGTTTTCAGCAGTCAGATTGAGAGGTGAGTCTTCCTTCAGTAGGAACGGGTCGAAGGCACCAAGGTCGGCCTATTTATGTATGTTAGTATGTGTCGGGCTTTGGTCCGTTGTCGGGGCTAGCCCGATGTAGAGTATGTTTCCCAGACTTCGATCTGATTCTGTGGCGGTCCCGAGAAGTAGTTATGTTTGCTTGATGTCTTTGTGATTCATGCATGTTATTTGTTATGTGTTCTGGGCCTATGTCCGGTGTATTCCAGTTTATATGTTATGTGTTATGTGTTCTGGCCTTTGGTCCGATGTTGGGGCAATCCCGATGTATGTTATGTGTTTATGATATATGTTATGCAGTGTATATGTCGAGGTAAGCCCAATGTCAGATGTTGTTTGATGTCGGGGTAAGCCCGATGCCGGACAGGAGTCCGATGGCGGGTAAGCCGATGTCGGGTTCATCCCGATGCAGCTGGGAGTAGTCCTAAAGTTATGTTGTTTGTTATATGTTATATTATGTGTATGGTATGTGTTAGTTTGGGGGAGCTCACTAAGCTTCGTGCTTATGGTTTTTAATTTTGGTTTCAGGTACTTCTGCTAGCAAAGGGAAGGGTTCGGGATAATTGCATGGCACACACCATAATCTATATCTTGGGATATTTTCTCTGATATTTGAGATGACATTACGATATTTTGACAGTTGATGAAATCTTTTTGAGACACATGTTTTTTTTATATTTATTTGATGATGTTATTTATGGTTTTATTAATGAATTAAAAACGAAAATTTTGGATCGTATTTTCGGGATGTTTCAGAACTTATAGGATAAAACAAATAAGAGAGAGAGAGAGAGAGTGTATGTGTGTGTGTGTGAGAGAGAGAGAGAGAGAGTGAGAGAGAGAGAGAGAGAGAGGAAAGCAGTGGTAGTGTGGACTTCTTAATCAGAACTTTTGAATTACAAATAAACGATGTCAATTGCAAATTTTCTTGCAACCAGATCGTCCAATGAGCTCGATCAGATTCAAGCTGCCAGATGACGAGTCATATACTGGGAATGTGCTTGAGTCCTTAGAGTTATGGCCATGTTTCGAGCCATCAATAAGTGTAAATTACTTTCCATATCATTCAAAATATCAAAAAAGAAATATTTCATTGTCTTAAATTCTTAATTATCATGCTAATTTTATCAAGTGACAATTATCCGAAACCTTAACTGAGTTGCAAGCTAGAAGTGACGATTATAGAGTGAGCACTATAAGATGAGCTTTTAGTTGTTACAAGTGACGAGCATTGCATACGGAGTGGTGAGAATGTTTCTGAAAAGGGAAGAGGCCGACAAAGAACATGAAGAATCTGGAGTAGAGCGAAGAGTCAGAGTTGGAACTTATAACAAAACTTGCTCTGTTGCATCAATGCTACTGAGTTCAATTTCAATGTATGTATTTCAATGGAGAGCTATTTCTGTATGATGTGACGATAAATACTCCATCGATCCACCACAAAACAACTTAGGGTTCGACGGTTTACAACTGCAATCGAAGATGAACACAAACGACGTCGGTCTCTTGGTTGGCAGATTCAATGTAGATGATATGGAGATTAAGGACATCATATTGGAGTCATCGCTGATCGTAGACTGAGGTAGAGGTGGTGAGGGACAATGGAGGAGATCGATGCAGAGGTAATAGTTGGTGATATGCAATATATATATATATATATATATATATATATATATATATATATATATACATATATATATATATATATATATATATATATATATATATATATATATATATAAAGTAATTTAGGGAATCTATATAAATTGGTAATCTATATTTCATTGACTTTTTGTAATGTTGTTTTTATACCATATTTACCCCCAAGGTGTATTGAGAAAAAGCTAAATTGCCATTAAGTTAAGTTATAATTACAATCATGTCATTATTGATCAAAGCCTTGTATTTTTTTATCTAAAATTTCACTTTTAGTTTTTGGGTTCTCATAAAACTATGAGTTCTCAAATGATTCTCTCTTTTTCTTTCTCTCTCTCTGTATGTGTGTATGTGTGTGTGTGTGTGTGTATATATATATATATAAAGAGAGAGAGAGGGAGGTAAACCGTCAAATGAGAACTACTAAAAGTTAAAAACTCTAAGAACCACTTATATATATATATATATATATATATATATATATATATATATATATATATATAGAGAGAGAGAGAGAGAGAGAGAGAGAGGGAGGTAAACCGTCAAATGAGAACTACTAAAAGTTAAAAACTCTAAGAACCACTTATATTTAGCTTATTTTTGTCTATTTAAAGTTTTTTGATTTTTTTTAATTTCTTAAAAATGACAAAAAAAACCCAATAAGGGCATAGTTTTGTTTTTAAGAACTTTTATATAATATCTATCATTTAGATCAGGTTAAGGACATTTCAAATACTTTTGCCAGAAAATCTCCCAAACCTTCTCAAACTCTCCCACCAACTCAACCACCTACTACCACCGTTACCTACAACTGGTAGCCTCCTACCACCATCGCTACCTACCATCGTCGTCACCTTCCTCCATTGTCCGCTTTTATACAATCACTTTAGATCATTAGAAAACTCACCAAACACATTCAACCTCTCAGATCTGAAGCTTTCCAATGAATTCACCTTATTTGGTTTAGATCTATGATCTCCGAAGATTACCATCATCATTGTTGCTTGTCCTCTATCACCTATCCAGTGAATTAATGTTGCCAACGACACCAAAGAATCACCAGATATGTAACTATTGTTTCCAGTTACTACCATCACCATCAAACTACAACTATCACTATCGAAACACCAGATCTTTACCAACTATACATTCATATTTATGATTTGTGCTTCCTCTCTAGATCTCTGATGTTCAAATCCGATAAAGCACGAGAAAAACTCTGCGATCCTCTTTGCTAGAATAAAAGATCTGATGGAGCACGAAGCTCGTTGCCGCCACCAAATGTCCGACCACTTGCAGATCTGCTTCTTTTTTCAGTAGACCACTGGAGACCGCCTCTGTCTTCACTCACACAAGATCTGATCAGATCTGATGTAGATCATAGAATTTGGTGTTATTTTACAAAGTCTTTTCTTTCTATTTCATCATTCCGTCGTTGGATCTACATTAGATCTGTTCTCCCACCGTTGGTGTTGTCGTCAGAGCAACACAAATCAGAAATTGCAGTCATCATCGCAACCTATAGGTGCTAATCTTGAACTTGTTTTGTTCCAGAATTCTTGAACTTGTTTTTTCTCTGATATGTTCCATCATCGGCAAATTGTTCTTGGATTTTTACCAGATCTGTTTTGCGTTGTCTCATCCTCCCTTCTAACTCATCTCCATCTCCGTCTCTTTTATCTTTGGTAGAAATACCACTAAATCAACATCAAATCTGATGTGTTTATGCATTTTCAGGTTAAATATGCCGTGTGTGCATGGTCTCCTGGTGTTTACAAAAAGAAGTTTTGAAAATAAGATGCATACATGGTGTTTGATGAAATGCCTCAATGAAATTTGGTAAGTTATTAAGCTTTGAATGCATATTTTTTTATGTATTAAACTATGAATTTATTGTATAAAGTTGTGAATTTTATGTATTAAGTTATGATATTTGTTTTTAGTTGTGAACTAAATGCATTAAGCTATGAACTTTTTGTTTAAATTGTGAATTGACTATATTAAGATGTGGATTTTGTATATTAAATTATGAACTATTTGCATTAAGTTGTGAATTTTGTGCATTAACTTATGAATTGATTGTATTAAGAATTTTAAGTTGATAAAATAGTTATGAATGCATACTTTTTGTATATTAAAATGTGAATATTCTGTATTAAGATGTTATTTTTATGTTTTAAACTATGAATTGGTAGCGTTAAGATGTGAATATTCTGTTTAAATTTTGAACTGTCTATATTAAGCTGTGAATTAATTAGTATTAAGTTGTGATTTTTATTGTAATTTTTTATTTGCTTCTCTTTTCATATTCCAAACTTATATCTATTACATTTTAGTAAGATTTTTGTGATCACGATTCAATTTTACGAATAGACTTTTATAAAGTGAAAAACAGTAATAAGTAACACTCAATTTGGTTGGACAACATTGAAGAATAGTCGATGGTGCCTAACTTGGCAATCCATGTATGCAGGTCGTGTACATGTGTTAGACATGATTTTTTACGACACAAATTTAATAAACACGAACATGACATGAATTATAAAACATATCTTGGGTATTAAACATGAACAATACACATAATTAATTAATGTAACACGTGACACGCTACAAATATACACATTTTAAATCATGTTACATGAAAACATGAATAAACACAAATTTAATTCGTGTCTATATGTGTTTATACATATCGGGTGTCAACACGAATTAAAATCGCATCTATACGTATTTAAAAAGATAAATTTGTGTTTGATATGTGTAAGATACGAAACAAAAATTTAAAATTTATGTCGACACGAAACACAAATTTCTAAAATTCATACACAGAAAAATCATGTCGTTTTTGTATCATGTCAGGATCTTATATCTAATTTCCGTACCATCACAAATATATATAAGTAGCACTTGGAAGTTTATAAAACACTAGAAAACTATCTTTAAAATTGCCAAATAGCTACAAATTCAACAACGGATTGGAGTTACTAAATTGAAAGCCAACAATTTTTTAACATTTCGTTGATAAAGTCATTAAATCGACAACCGATTAATCAATTTCATGTTGTTGGTTAAAACTCATTGTTAACACCTAACAGTTCTTCTAATAGTGATATACAAGCCAAATTAAATTAAATTAAATTAAATTAAATAATAATAAAAAATAAAAAATAAAAAATAAAAAAAAAAACTCTATATCGACTCATTGTATCAACGTGTCCTTAGTCATGCATTGAATCATCATTAATCAAAATTAAATTGTTTGTATATCATGTACTCTAAAATGATAATTTTGACACCAATAGAATATTGTTAATTTGTTATTAGGGTTAAAGAAAGATACCATTTAGAGTAGTTTAGTAGCAACAAATGTAGAAAGTTAACTTTTATATTACTAGGTCATACATGTACCAGAAAAACTGTGCACGCACCTTAAACACTTTTTCCAAAATAAATAATTGTATAACGTATGGTCCACATCCACATACGGTCTCATAAGTTTGAAGTTTGAACCCTTAAAATGAAAGCCATTTGATCTTGTTTGCTTCCTTAACTTGTACACTCATCAACCTATGCAACAAAGCATATCTTGGAACTATAAAATATAATTTATTTTCTTTTTCTTTTTATAGACCAGCATAAAAATAAAATATAATTTAGTGGTACGATAATGATGCCGAACAAATGTATCAACTTTATTATATATATATATATATATATATATATATATATATATATATATATATATATATATATATATATATATATATATATATATATATATATATATATATATATATATATATATATATATATGTTGAGGTTCATTTGAGACTATTCTAATTTTATGAGACCGTAAGACCAAATCTAAAAATAATTTTAAAATGCAAAATAAATGGAAAAATCCAAAAATTCTTTTTTTAAATATTATTTTCGGAACTTGAATTAACTAAAAAAATATAAAAAATAAATAAAAAAAATTCCGTTTTTTTTTTTGAAAAATACGTGAAATATTCTAAATAGAATATTACACTGACATATTCTAAAAAATAATTTTAAAATGCAAAATAAATGGAAAAATATAAAAATCTTTTTTTTTAATATTATTTTCGGAACTTGAATTAACTAAAAAAATATAAAAAAAAATTCTATTTTTTTTAAAATACGTGAAATATTCTAAATAGAATATTACAATGTACATATTCTAAAAATAATTTTAAAATGCAAAATAAATGGAAAAATCAAAAAAATTCTTTTTTTAAATATTATTTTCGGAACATGAATTAACTAAAAAAAATTTAAAAAAAAAAAAAAAAATACGTCTCACGGTCTCACAAAATATAGGTAGTCTTAAATGAACCTAACCCTATATATATATATATATATATATATATATATATATATATATATATATATATATATATATATATATATATATATATATATATATATATATATATATATATATATATATATATATATATATGAGTGTTTAAATTCATTTGAGACCATATTAATTTTGTAAGACCATGAGATGCAATTTAAAAATAATTATAAAATAAAAAATCTGGAAAATTATTATTTTTGTCATTTTATTTACCTAAAAAAATAAATAAAAATTACATATGTTTTCTTGAAAAATACGTGAAATATTCTAAAATAATATTAAACTGTAAATATTTTAATGTGATTTTTAGAATTTTATAATATTCTAGTATTCTACTAGTTTTTGTCTAATATGTAAATTATTCTAATATTTTAATAGAATATTTTACAGATATTAAAAAAATGGTATTTTTTTTTCATTTATTTAATTTTTTTTGGAAAAATAAATGACGAAAATAATACTAAAAAAAAAACTTTAAAAATTTTCAATTATTTTGCATTTTAAAAATATTTTTTTATCTACAAAATGAGTGTCTACGATTGCATCTCTGTGTCTCACAAAATATAGTTGTCTCATATGAACCTAACCATATATATATATATATATATATATATATATATATATATATATATATATATATATATATATATATATATATATATATATATAACATCCCAAAATTGAAGTCCGAAAATTTCATTTTTAAATTAATAATTTTTAAAACATTTTACCATAACATTGTCAGTAAAGCAACACATTACAAAATCATAATGTTGTGTCCAAAACCATGACATCAAAAATAATGAAAATCAGAGTACAATCCTAGAAAGTCCGATGAGGAATCATGTGTGTGTGTGACACGATGCTACGCTGCCGACTCCTTCCCCTTAGACGAAGAGGTACTTGAAACCAAAACAGAAACCATAAGCATAAAGCTTAGTGAGTTCCCCCATCATATCACATACCATATAGTATCATCGGTATCTTTCAACCGGTAATCATCAACGGTATCTTTCAACCGGTAATCATCGTCGGTATCTTCCAACCAGTAACTTCTATCGGTATCTTTCAACCTTTAATCATCATCGGTATCGTTCAACCGGTAACCATCATCGGTATCTTTCAACCGGTAACCATCATCGGTATCTTTCAACCGGTAACTAAGGACTATTCCACCCCTACTACTAGCATACAACATAAAGATATAAACATACGATCAGGCATATCGGGGTACTGACCTACCCTTCGGTCCTAAGGACCACTGTCAGGGAAACTGATCCCTACTATACACATTACATATCATACAAATAAATCTCATAACTAAGGTACATAACCAGACCAAGATAATTATCACAAAGGAAATTATTTCCTAAATATTCCTCTTTGGTGGGCCGACATTGTGGCCTTAGACCCACCCCTACTGGAAGGTAACTCACCTCGTATGAGTAGTTGTTGATAATCTGCTCGGGAAACCTCTATCTGCTGCTGCTTACGAAATCCTCCGGCTATAATCCCCACAAAACACTCAGTCAGAATCTGATATCTACTCTTAGGGTAAAATGATTATTTTACCCCTAACTAAGTCTAAGTCAAAGTCAACTTCCAGTTGACCCGAATCGTCGAGTTGGGCCATCAACTCATCGAGTCCCTACCCTTTACTCGTCCTTATCCATGACTCGACTCGTCGACTTTGGCAACGACTCGACGAGTTCCCCTTCTTTACGAACATCAATGAACCTTCATCCGACTCGCCGAGTTGTATGAACAACTCGTCGATTTAACCTTCATCTGATGAACAAGTCCTGACTTTGACTCGCTGAGTTTTATGAACAACTCATCGAGTTCATTTTCAAACATAAGAAGATTGCCTTAGACTCGCCGAGTTTGTTCTAGCACTTGTTGAGTCCTATGAACTCCAGGTCTAAAACTAAGTCCAATGCATTAGGTCACTCCTTATGTCCTGCTACAACCCTTCTAACACTCAATTGAGTTCTTTTGACCCTCAACAGATATGGGAATCAAAGCCTTGGACTCGTCGAGTCCCAAGAACTGACTCGCTGAGTTGATAACATCCACACCCAAATCCTCGATTTCTGATGTACAATACTTGTCCAAATGATAGATCCAATCCTCAAAGCTCGATATAGAACGTAAACTTACGAACTTTACATGCATGCATGGGACTTTTGAGACAAAAAGGCTCTAAAATGGCACTTTTGTTGCATGGGGCCTTCCTTGGGTGCAAAAGCAACCCAAATCTGTCTTGTGACTCGTCCCAAGTGCTAGATCCGAAGTATTGACCCCTAACCATGTTTGCAAATCATGGTTGATCACCTAATATGGCTTAAAAGCCCTAAATCTTCCCCAAAAAGGGATCTAACAAAAAAGCAAGCAAAGTACAGACTTTATACCTTTCAAAGACTGCAAATGATGAACCAAACTCGAATCCTTCAGCCTCCTCTTGATCCTTCTATGCTCTTCCTGCTTCCTTGAGGTAAAAATCCACAAAAATCACTCAAAAGCCTTAGTTCTTGCACCAAAACACTTAAGGTTTGCTATGGACAGTCTTTAGGAGCATTAGGGACGAGTGATGGCAGGA